CGGGGGACAAAGTAGGGTTAGGGGGGAGACGATATTGATTGTGCTCAGTCATGAGATGAAATTACAATAATATCAGCTAGGATATTCAGGCGTCTGGCTGGGTTTGTTAGTTTGGCTGGTAGCTAACTCGTTTGACGTCTCGTGACTAGGCATCTTCCTCTTGTTTTCTACACAATGTACGGAGTATCCGGAGACAAACCCCTTTACTATTGCATTCATAGTACCAAGATAAACAAATTGGCCAGGCACCACCGACTAATACTTGTCAAATTATCACCGACCTTTCCCAACGCATTTGCTCTTCATCAAGAGGCTTGTCCGTTACTCAGCAGGTACTAATGAAGGTACTCACGGGGAACAAACTAAAACTGGGGGCGACCCCCACACCAGACTGTCCCGGCCCCACTACTTACCCCGATATACACTAGTGTGCATTCTCGAGGCCTGCCCACGTAACTTATGTACGTTGTACCCTCAGTCCTCACCCGCTACTGGTCCGCTCCATCCTGCTTCGTACCGCGAGTCCACTTCAAAGAGATGGGTACAAAGTACTCTGTGAATAGTAGTTACCTCAAGGACGCAGGCGTTTATTTACCGGGTCAGTTTGTATTCCACTCGTTTGCTCATTGGGAATCGCCCCGGTCACAGGTACATTGGCCGACGCCCTGACGTGTTTGTGCAACAATGAACCGGCCGAATAAAGCGGTTTTCAGCAAGCGGAGGACTTCCAGCGTCTGAACGACTGGAGAGGAGTGGAGTACCCGTCAGGTGAGGTCAGGCGGACCCCTGTTTCCCCAGTTTCCAAGTAGGCGAGTCGCACATTACGCATAGACCCCCCCCTTTCTCTGACAAACCAAACCATTGCAGTAATTATTGCACAAGGGGCCCCCATCCTCCTCTGTACAAACATTCCACCTTCCTTGGGGGTGTTTTCCCTTCGAACGAGACTATAAAACATCGCTGCCTCTCCTCCTTTGAATCTCGCCCAGCCCGCTTTTATCGGAATGCCCTCATCTCCGACCAAGAGTGACTTGATATCTATTGCCCGTGCCATCATTATTCGTACATAATCATCTTTCAGGCCACCTACCCATCAGTACTGCCACACTTCCCGCTTGGATAGTCCCGTCACGCCTCTTCTCATAATCATCCACCTCGTCGAGCGTGCGATCATGCTTTCTTACGATGCTCCCAGCCAAGGGCCGGTTTCCTCATCTGGCCTTTCATCTAGTATAAATGGAGCGCCTGCATCAAAGACCCAGGCTATCTCAGCCCAGGCCAACGGTTCTTCGGCTCCCAAGCATCATCACATCTGGCTCGTCACAGGACCGGCTGGATGCGGAAAGTCGACTGTCGCTGAACACTTGGCGCAATCACTAAACATGCCCTTCATCGAGGGTGACTCGGTAGGTGGATGGATCATTATTCCCGGGGAGTGTTCCTTCTTTTGTTTTCTCTTATTCTGTTCGACCTGGAACTCATCCTAACTTCCTTTGTGACATTAGTTTCACCCACAGTCGAATATCGAGAAGATGTCCAACGGCATCCCCCTGACCGATGCCGATCGCTGGGACTGGCTGACGATCCTCCGCGAAGAGTCCCGCAAACGGCTGGCCTCCGGCTCGGACGGCGTGGTCCTGACATGCTCGGCACTGAAACGCAAGTACCGCGACGTCATCCGGGTCGCCGGATACTACGACCACTCGCTGCTCATCCACTTCATTTTCCTTCACGCCCCCGAGACCGTCCTCCTAGAACGTGTGCAGGCGCGCAAGAACCACTACATGGGTGCCGACATGGTCTCGAGTCAATTCAGCATCCTGGAGCTTCCTCAACAGGACGAGAAGGACGTCATCACCATCGATGTTAGCCGATCGGTCGAAGCCGTCAAGCGGGACGCCTTGTCCCGAGTTACACACATGATGAAGGGGGATGAAGAGGACTAAGGTGGCCCGGGTCCCTTGGGAGCGCGCGATCATTTCCCCTCAAGTTTTTTTTTCTTCTTTTTTTCCCCTCCTTTTCTTCTCTTTTCCGTTCTGTCATTTATGGGAGTTGGTGGGCAAAAGGGCGAATGGGCATAGTGTGATATTGCACGATAGGGTACGGCAAGGCTCCGGATTTAAGGTCTTTTTTTTTTTTGGCCAGGCGTTATTCACGGGGACATCAGAGGCTTTTTTTTTATTACCCCCTTCTCCTTTTGTTCCGGATTTCGCTGGGGGGGGGGGGGTTTACCATCCTGTATTTGTTTTTCTTGTTTATTTTCTCCAGCGAGATTAAGCTATCAACGGCGAGGGCATCTCGCATCGGCATCTCATTGACAGCGCTTCTGGCTACGTTGGCGGTTCTGTGATATTTTTTTGTATTACCTCGGGAGGGGAGGGCGGGCAAGATGTGTCAGCCGGGAAGCGAAGGGAAGGGAGGGCTTTTCTTCCGCCACTATTTTGGGAAGAGAAGGATGAGGATATCCTAGAAGGAAGGCGGGGGGGGGCATAGAAACAAAGGACCGGTCCCTCGAGGTTCATGAACGATGTGCGCAAGGGAAGGACACAAATAGGTACACCGCCCTGCGGCCCGATGCGACCAGGCTACGGCTCCAGGGGTCTCTCCTAGGTAGTCAGCGACCAAACATGGTGAGGGGTCCGTCCCTTTTCTATCACTCTTCTTTGCATTGTCTAGACTCGAAACGCAAAAGAAGGACAGGGGGTCCGTCCTCAATTGCTTCGTGTTACCATTATCCACATCAAGTGCTACAAAGTGTTATATTGCTGTCCTCCTGTCTCAACGCTGTCAACCCGCATCGTTTTTCCGGCCTCATAATTCGTAGGTACTTATTTTTGCATTTCTCGTTCGGCAGAAAGAAGCACGACAAGCAGGCTCTTGACCCCTGGTAATTGGTGGCCTCAAAAAACCATTCTCGACCATTCCCACCCCATCCTCCCCCCGGTGTGACAAAATGGTTGTTGTTGTATGGAGTGTACATGCAACTTGGTGACGCTAGTGGAGACCGGTCAAGATTTAGGCGCCTAGGGTACCTTTAGGTAGGCCGGTCCAGATTTGGGGGTTGGAAAGAAGAAATAATAATAGGGAATAGTAATTATGTTATTTCCCCCTCTCTTCTGTTTTTATAGGCGTCTTCGTTGGCGACGTGTCAGTTTGAATGCTCAATTGTTCGGCGAATATGCCAAGACGGCGGTTTGGTCTTGTTTTTCATCTGATTATCTGCGTCCGATTATGGTCTTAGTCGAATGGGGCCGACTGTTGTGGAATCCGTTTGAAGACTCGGTGATCACGATCACGATGTCCCCGATGATCTTGCGGTACCTGGGCAAGGATTCTTCTTGTCAACACGAAACCCCCTGTCGCCTATCCCCGCGCCCAGCTTTTTACTCTTTTTTTCCTTCCCGTGCCGTTCTGCATTCGTCATTCGTCCTCCGCGTCCTTAACGACCAACCCGCCCGTTGCCTCCTTTCTTTGTCGGAACCTTAAGGCTCAAGCCTCATGTGCTGGCTTCTTGTCTTCTACACCTTGCAGCAACGAAATATGTACGTGTACTGCGTAAGTGGTAAAACTGCTCCGTACAGCCTACGGATACAGAAGCCTCGAAAAGCATACCCCAGGCGTTGGGTGATTACTGGCTCGGCCCACATCGGACGATCAGGGCGGGAAGCGAGCATGGCCAGCCCAATGCAACACCCCGCAAGCCCCTCTCTCAACTGTTCGTCTTTTAATTTATAGGACATGGATACAGGCTCGTGACTCGAGGTTCACAAGCCGAGACGCGAGATTTCTCGAGTTCCTTACAGATCAAGCTAGTTATCATTTCTCGGGAGCGGGAGCGGGGGTCTCTACCTTCGGTAAACATGTATTAGCCAAACCACATAAGCCATGTGTATTTATATATATCACCGAAGATGCATCACCATGACGTCAGGCTCCTCCACCACCCTCCTCACCACTTCGGCAGCTCTCGCCATGGTCGCTCCGTCCACGACCCGGTGGTCCGCGCTCCAGCTAAAGTTGGTGACGTGTTTCTTTACCACGGCCCCCGACTCGTCGAACGCCGGTACGGTGCGCATCCGTCCAATGCCCAAAATGGACACCTCTCGCTCCACGATAACCGGCGAAACGTAAGTGCCGCCGATGTTGCCAATATTGGACACCGTTACGGTCCCGCCCTGCATGTCCGCTGCGCTCAGGCGCCCCGCGTGCGCGAGCTTCTGGAGACGCGCGAGTTCCGCGGCGATGGATAGGATGTTGCGCGACCCGACATCCTTGATGACGGGCACTAGGAGGCCCGATGGAGTGTCCATCGCCACGCCGATGTTATGCTGGCTCCTCATCACGAGGGAAGGCTTGCCCCGCACGTCGCTGTTGGCGGGGTCGGCGTCAACCCGGGCGTTCAGGATGGGATACTGATAGAGCGCCATGGAGACGGCTTTGATGATGAATGGTAGGTACGACAGTTTCTCCACCTGCGGCGCATCCGGCGTCTGCGGCTGCTGGTTGGACTGAGACAGGACGCGATTGAGGCGGGTGCGGAGCTCGACCAAGCTGGAAAAGTCGACCTCGTCCGCATAGAGGAAGTGAGGGATAGTGAGAGAGCGAGTCATGCTCTTGAACATTTGCAGCTGCGTGTTGGTCAGCGGCACCCGGGTCTCCGTCTGCGCACCGGGTGTTGATGCTGGGGCCTGCCGGGACACGGGGGCTGCTTGCGGGGCCGGCGGGGGTGCCGGTGACGACGCATCCATATTGGCTGCGCCGAAATCCCTCTGTTTGACATATCTGTAGATATCCTCCTTTAGAACCCTCCCGTCCTTGCCCGTGCCGTCGATGTCGGCAATATCAACACTGAGCTCTTTGATCAGATGCCGCACGGCCGGTGTTGCCAGCATCGCACACTTGCCCTTGGGTTTCGAAGCCTCTACCGCCCCGGGAGACTGTTGGGGCATGTTTGTTATTTGCGACGGCGCTTCCGCCATTCCCTCCGCTCTTGTCATTTCGGCGTCCAACGCCGAAGATTGGGGAGATTCTTCCGAGCCCGAGGGCGGCGCACCAGAAAGAGCGCCTAGGTCTTCCTTTTTTGCGTCACCATCAATGTCAATATCAATGAACGCCTTGCCGACCTTGGCCATCTCGCCCGTCTCGTAGTACAATTTCTTGACGACGCCAGAGAAACGGCTCGTAATCTCGACGGAAGCCTTGTCGCTCTGCACCTCGCACAACGGGGAGAATTCCTCCACCCGCGCCCCGGGCTCGACGAACCATTGTATCACTTCGCACTCGACGATACCTGCGAGGGTGGAAATGGTTAGTTGACTCTTGAGTTGGAAATATCGCGGGATCGTGATTCTCTTTTGAGCATTTACCTTCGCCGATATCCGCTAGCACGACTGGCTTTACGACAAGAAGAGGCCGAGTATCGTGGAACCGCCTCGAAGGATACACCGCTGTTGCTGGCCCTGCGATGGGCGGACGGCTAAAGCATCTGGAGGCTTGCCTCAACGAGCGGGAACTTTGTCTCAAGAACATCTCAATGATCAATTGTCCTTCTCTTAAAGCTGCGTTCGTGATATTGACATGATAGGAAAAAAGACAGAAATTCTTGGAAATGTGCGAAGCGAAAGGGATAGTCCTTCGGTCGAGCAGTCGGCTCCTCGAGGAGACCATCAACTCGGCTATTCGCGGTGTTGTTCTGGTGTCTCGTCCCCGCTGATATGGCTGATGACATAATTGTGCCTTCCAACTACGGCTTAAGGATGCCCTGCTGGATTAAAACTGTGGGGGTTCGCTCGGCTTAACCCCACAAGTTTCGCAGCCATTGGGAATCCACGAACCCCAGGAACAGCTACTACACGTACGGTGCTCACTTGAACGCAATGTACTGCAAAGTACAACCTAATCAGAATCGCGACCTGCACGACAGTTCCCAAAATGCGCCTCCATGCTGTTCGTGCTAGACTTAATCGGTCATATATACGAGAAGATGGATTAATAAAGTACATATATACGAACCGTAGGGATGATCCACACTGTTGCCCCATGGGCACAATGTACAGACACCTGATACGGCATCTGATAATGTCCTTTGATAACAATGGTACGGTACGCCTTAGCAGATTGAGCCGGAAAGCCAAAATTTCGTGGATCCACCCCGTCGCATCCATCGGTCTTGGTCAGATCTACCGTTTACCAATTGGCAACCCGTTTCGCTATGAACACCTAGCCCGATCTACAGCCCGATCTATTCAATCATGTCGTTGAGGCTAGGGACCCAAAGCAGGAGGTTTGCCTGTTCTTTCTGCCAATGGCGACGCTTTATGAGCGTGTCGTCCCGGCGCCTGGCGGCCGAGAAGCAACCGCCAGCTGCCCCGGCCCCTCCTGAAGCCGCGTCCAAGGTGCCAAAAAGCCTCCCGCAGGAGATGCCCGCCGCTGCCATTCAAGCGCCGAGGTCGTACGGACGACGAGTCGACAAGTTTACCCCTGAAATCATCCCTCGCCCCATTGGCATGCAGAAACCGCCTCATCCTCACGACAATACGGGCATCGACCCCAGGACCCTCCAGCAAAGACGGGATGACTTTGTCAACTACGAGAAGCATCTCGCTCGCCGCAAGCAGCTGTACGATGCCTCCCTTGTTCCTCTCGTGTGCCGTTCCCGCTCCCAGCTAACGCCGTCTTTCCCCTTTGGAACAGAAAAGATCAAATCTCCCGCCCCTATTTCCGCGATTGGACAAACCTGCAATTCCATGAAGGCAAATCCTTCCTCGCCCCGCCACGGCCCTTCCGCTCCGACGTGTCTCTGTTCTTTCCCAACTTCGTGGGCGACACGCTTCTCAAGGGCGACAAGGGCAACTTCCGCGACACCACCAACGTCCTGCACGGCAAGACGTCCGTTGTCGCCATGTACAACGGCAAGTGGGCCGAAGACCAGGCCGGGACCTTCATCTCCAAGACGCACAACCCGGCCCTGCACGAGCTTATGGCTTCCAACCCAAACGCCCTGCAGACTGTTCAGCTCAACCTCGAGGATAACAGAGCCAAGGCGTGGCTGGTGCGACTGTTTGCGGGGAGCCTCAGACGCCAGGTTGGGGAGGAGAACTGGGGGAAGTACTTCATCGTCAAGTCCAAGATCTCGGATGAAATTCGTGAGTCGATCGGCTTGCTCAACAGCAAGGTGGGATACGTCTACCTCGTGGACCACCTGTGCAGGATACGATGGGCCGCCAGTGCCAATAGCCGGCCGGACGAGTGTGAGAGTCTGGTAAAAAGCGCGAAAATAGTGCTCGACGAGTACGAGAAGGATTTGAAGGACATTCGCGCATTAAATTCTCCGAATAAAGAGCGATCCCGAGGCTGAAACGGAGGCCAAATTATCTTCTGGCAAGCTATCAGGCAGCTGTCATCAGCCCGCAGATAAATTGGAGATAGATACCCGTGTAATATGCCTGTACATTAAAATCAGGGGGCAGCATACCCGATGCAGACACCCCGTCTTGCTTAATTAAAAACGATCTCCCAAACGCCCTCGCATCCATGCTGGTTTAGTTCCCTCGCTAGCCAAATACCATAGTGAGAAGAAAACCTTGCGTCATTCAATCCATAGCCGGTCCAAAGGGTAACAAAGAAGGTAAAGAGAGTCAATCGCTGTGCCACATTATAGAAACCACCAAAAGAGAAGGAAGCAAAAGGCAATGAACGTGCCCATGATAATGCCGTCCCGCCGCTTCTTGGCGGATATTCTTCCGATGATCGAGTTGATGCCCGGCACTTGGCTGGCAGCAAGGGTGATGCGGCGGTTGATGCTGGCGAGCGTCTCGCGCTGGAGGTTGAAGCTGTCCTGGACGGCGTATGCTTGGCTCAGCACGCTGTCGGCCATATTGTGGCTGTTGTCAATGCGCGCACGTTCGCCGAGCATGTAGTCCGCCTCGGCAGCCTCGGGGTTCTGCAGTTGCTGTTGGGATCGGTACTCATCGATGTCGGAGCGGACATTGGAGAGCAGGTTGGCGCGATCGCGAGCCTGGGAGAGGGCAGTGCGCAAGCGGGATAGGTCGCGCCTGTGTTCGGCGAGTTTCTCGCGGAGGAGGGAAAGGTTGTTTTGCTTGAGAGCGGAAGAGGTGAGAGTAGGGTCCGAATCGAGGAGACGACCTAGTTGGGTGATGACAGTCTCGCGCTGACAGGAATCACGGTTAGTCAAAGGATAGCTACAAAGGGAGCGCGAGCCACGCAAAGCGAACCTTGTCAAGAACTTCTTGCAGCTTAGCCTCGGTTGAACGTTCTTCCTCTGTCGGCTTGGGCGGGATGTTCGCTGCGGTCGAGAACTGGGAATATGTATGGAAGAGCGTCTCGGTCTGCCAGAGTGTCAGTCTCGAGAAATGTTGCTTTACGATATGCTGCGCCGACTAACTTGACTTTCTAAAGTGCGCGCTTGTTGTCGAAGCTGGGTCCAGCCCGAGTTCCCTGTGTTGCCAGCCATAACTATCGCCGGATAGATTCCGTGACTTGAGGTTTGGGTAAGATGATCGATGCTGCACTCTTACTTCCTTGCAAGCCTCGTCCAAAGAATGATGTCTGCCTGTGGACCGTGCACCGAGAGAGATATTGTACGTGGTACTTAGTATTACATAAACATCCCGTGTTCAGAGCAGAGACCGGATAATCATCGGCCGCCAAGTTTTCGCGGGTGCGAAAAAACCCGTCTCCACTTTTTCCAGATAGGAATCCCACAAGCCCTAGTTTTCGCCAAAACGTCTCGTAGTTTGGCTCCGTGACACTTTTTTCGACTTCACGAAGACGAGACTTCCGCCCAGCCCCCGTCAAACACCCAGCGATCAATCCGTTCTCTCCGGCCAAAATGGTGAGTTTCTCCCATTCCTGCTGTTACTGATGAAGTTCAATCGACGGACAATACCAAATCTCGAACACTTCCCCGCGCATGCCTCCGATTTCCAACATCCCCCGTTCCGATAACGTCCCTGCAATCGTCGATGTCACCCAAGGACTTGATCGAACGTCGTCGCTAACGATATGTACCAGTCGACACCCAAGGTTAAGGCCGTCCAGCTGTGGGGGAAGAACAAGGATGAGTTGACCAAGCAACTCGGCGAACTCAAGACCGAACTCGGCCAGCTTCGCATCCAGAAGATCACTTCGTCGGGCACCAAGCTTAACAGAATGTACGCACCACGAACACCGTCCCCACTACTGGCCGAATGATGATGGGAATGGGAAGGATGGAAATGGCTAGGGGAGGCCTTTTTCTTTGCTGACGGGTTATCGAATTTGGCAGCACCGACATCCGCAAGTCGATCGCCCGCGTTCTCACCGTGATCAACGCCAAGCAACGACATCAGCTCCGCCTGTTCTACAAGAACAAGAAGTACGCGCCTCTCGACCTCCGCCCGAAGCAGACCCGTGCCATCCGTCGCCGGTTGTCCAAGCACGATGCGGAGAGGGTCACAGAAAAGCAGCGCAAGCGGACCCAGCACTTCCCCCAGCGCAAGTACGCTGTCAAGGTAAGCGACGATCGTTTGAAGACTTGAAGAGTTTTGGGAGGGAAGACGATAGCGGGATTGCTGACTGAAAGCTATTTAGGCTGCTTGATTTGGACGCCTCTTTCGGTAACTAAGGAGCTGGGGAAGGCAAATGGACGGCGTACGTTTGGCAAATGGGTGGACTCCGATTTCTCGATGCATCGCATGGTTCAGAGGAAATGCTTTGTTATTCCAATTAACGCGCATAGGATTCTCGAGGGGTCTGGACTCAAAAAATACATTGTCTCGGGCCTCGCTGGTCTGGGACTGGTAGCAAAAGGTAGCTACCACCATCACATAGAGCCAATAAGACGCTCTGAATCACATTCAAACCCGGTGTTTGACCGGCCGAGTTTCGTGGACAATACTGCCCGAGTGCCCGTGATACCGGAAGTTGGGGGAGGTAGTGGCTCTGATGTAAGATCTTCTTGGAGACGACGGTCCGCTAGGTCCCAAACACTGAGGGGACTCAAACCCGTTGTCGCTGGTACAAGGCTGGTCACTGGAAACGAGTGCATCGTGCATGATCAAAGTTACTATGTCCTCTGGACCATAAAATCCGGAGAGTGAACCTACACACCCCCGGAAACTGCCTCGACATCCCGGGTGAGTCGAAACTGGCGCTTGACCTCAACCATTTGATGATCGGTAGGAATGAAGGCTGTCGATTTGTCAGGTTGGTCGCTTTCCACAATTGCTGAATTCTAGCTAGGTAGGCAAAGGAGTGAATCAGAGCGCCCTGCTCTCGTGCACAGTGGCCACCCTGCCATCCGCGAACACTTTGGACATGCTCGTGACCTAGCTATAAGAGCTGCCAAGTAAATGCAGGGACTCTGTGATAAGCGGCCCGTAAAGGGAGACCAGAAGACAAATACTATTCGTTTTACTGTTTCGTCCGCGCGAAGTTGAAGAGAAGCGATCCACGCAAGGCGGCTTTCGCATAATGTTTTTAGCTCAGAATGGTTGAGGAAGAAAGTGTTGTTGACGATGTAAAATTACCAAGTTCACCATGGGGAGACTCAACGGTAATACCGAGAAATGTATTTCGTGGCAGCCAAGGCATATGTCTAGCTTAAACGGTCTCTAACAATGCCTTCTCGATGGTTTGGTGTACCTTGTTTTTAAAGACTCCTATCCCAATTGCACTAGTTCCGTCAACCAGTCACCCAACGCCATGCTCAACGGGCGGGTAAAATATCAAAATGCCGACCGCTCGCCTCATCATGAATTGCCATCATAGGCTATGCTCTGATATACCATAGGACTCCGGGGTTTCCCATGAGCTAAATGTAAGTCTGCATGGTGATCGTGATGTGATCGATATGAAGTCTTTCAAACGAAACATCCCTTACAAGCCGCGTTTTGCCCATAGCAACATCGACGAGACCTGCAGCGGTAACATAGCCCGCTCTTGATCACTCATTTTGTCGTCGTGACTCCGAAGATGTCGGCGCATCTGGTCGGGCCTGTGAAAATCCTTGTCGCAGAGCGGGCACACGTGGTCTCCTCTAACCTTGTGCGTCTTCCGGTGCTTTGACAGATTGGACGACTCGCTAAAAGCCTTGTTGCATATCTCGCATTGAAGGGGTTTCTCGCCATTATGAGTGCGCATGTGCATAGCTGTGTAGTGTTAGGCGGCGAGGCCTTGCGCCATAGCGCTTAGAGTATAGGAGAGGAGGTTAGGAGGGGGGAGCTTACTAAGTGCACTCTGCTGCTTGAACTGTGCGTTGCATATCGAACAGGGCCACGGCGTCTCGCCTGTATGGATCCGAATATGCTGCTCCAGAGATTGCTTGGCTGAAAGCTTTACGCCGCAATAGGGACACTCAACAGGTTTATCTACTTTCCTTGTCAGCGAAGGAGGGGGGAAACGAGGGGAGAGAAAGAGAGAGGATGAGAAACGTGGTTTGAGGGGGGCGGCACTCACACCCAGTGTGGGTCTGTAGATGTCTCTCGAGCTTGCTCTTCTGGCCAAACTTGCCCTTGCCATGTGGCTTGTGTTTTCGGTTGCATTTTTCCCACAGGCAAGAGAAACCATCGCCATCCTTGTCGAGGGGCACTATATGAGCTTGTCGGCAATGTGCGTGGAGCGCGTCGTCCGTCGCGAAAGCCTTCCCGCATACGCCACCGTCTTCACCCCGTACCCACTTGCATATGGCCTGGCCCTCCAATGTGTGTACAGAATCATCCGTGGCTGGAGTATTCGACGAACGTTGGTTGACGTCCTCGCTCGTGTTGGTTGCTGACCCGGTCGAAGTAGACGACGATCTCCGCACTGGTTGTTCGGCTTGCTCCAAGCGGGGCATGTGAGTACTATGCTGATAGCCATTGCCTAGGCCAGAATTTCCGAAGTTGACATAATTTTGAGGGAAGGATTGCGGAAAGAAAGCTTGAAGGCAGTCGGCATTGTGGGCGTTTCGATGCTGCTCGTTGAAGTGGTTCACCCACTCCCAGGCAGACGGAAACACGTCACCACATGGGACGTTGTAGCCAGGGTTACTGATTGCCGGCTGACAGAAACTCTCCGCGTTTGACTGCGCGTGTGCGAACTGCGGCATGGGACACCGAAGGGACGCGCTGTAGCTGTTAAAAAGACACGGCTCTGCGCACTGGGAATGCGGCTGGTTCGGGTCGTGCTGCTGCCAGAGATGCTGGAAAGCCTCTACCTGCTGAAAATCCCCGGGCAGTGAAGTGGTCACCATCCCCGTTCCGACGGGCGCGGCGGTGTGCGATGTTGAGTTGGAAAAGGCCTGCCCGCCCGTCGCATGCTGGGCAGACAGTGGCGCACCGGAACCATGCCCGGGAGTCTCTCGAGAAGCGAACTGGCCAGGCCTCAGGGTGGATGATTGCGTGTTGTGCTGGACAGCGTTTTGCAGCTGTGGCTGGAGTGGCGCTTGATATCCCGGGTCGTTGTGGAGAGTGTTCAGGGCCACAGCAGCCTCTTGCAATTCAGGAGGGGGTAGCTCGTCTTCGTCTTCGTCTTCATCCTCGGGCACGCAATCGACACCACTGCAACGTGTATAGGGATCGCATTGATTTTCATCACATGGCGAAGAAGGGCAGTCGGTGTCGCTGCAGACCGGTCCCGGGGTGGAGCTGTCGCATCCACGGCACTCGGGACAATTGACTTTGCAATCCCAGCTTTCTCTGTCGGCGTCACACTGGCTGGTGAAAGCTTGCGGATTCGCGTTGGGGTCATCGTAGTAGAATGCCATGCAATTTGAGTTCCGCATGGAAACGTGGCCCGACTGGGAGGAATTCATCTGGTGATTGGAAGAAGGGAAAGAGGATGAGCCCTGATGGAGCTGGAAAGCTGAAGGAGGACCTGAATAGCCTTGGTGAGCCATGTCGTCATGAGAAAAATGGTCGTATTCTTGCATGTTGTCTCCTGGGCTGAGCGGACTACAATCCACGTTGAAGAAATCGGGTTCGAAATCGGAATTTGGAAATCCGTTGTGGTCATGAGATGGCGGCGCTGCAGATGACAGGGCACGCTGAGTTGAAGACATTAGACCGACTGAAAGAGAGTCGCAACGAAAGGAGGACGAGGATTATGAAGAGGCAATTTAGAAGACGGCCATGTAGGTTAACTGTGATGGACGAACAGTGAGGGTGGGTTGCAGAGCAGGAAGGAAGTGGGAGAAGGGGGCAGTCTATCGGGAGAAGCAAGACGGAAGGAAAGTGCCGTTCAGCCTCCGACCACACTCTCGCAGAGGGATTGCCAAAAACAGAACAGTGGGGAGAGTTATGAGAAGGGGAATGAGTGGTGATGGATTGATGGATTGATGGACGATGGAAGGGGAGATGCGCAGCCAACGTTCGATATTCACTGCCCCTCTATTCGCGCCCACCTGAGGCGAAGGGTCAGCAGGCATTCCGGAAAAGAAGACGGATGAGAATTGCCTACTGGTAATGGAAGGCGAGAGGGCGTTTTGCGCTCTGCGCTCTGCGCTTTCCAACGTGCGTCGTCGGGTCAGCACTTGCAACTGTAACTGCAAAAAATAGAGGCTGGACCGGTGATGCTGAGGACCCGGATGGCCAGGTCAAAGGCGGGGCGGAAGTCTCTCAATGGACCCTTGTTGGTTATGCCCTAGAGTACCTATTCGTAGGTACCTTACCTTAGGTGTGACCTGTCGTGATCGTAAGTCTTCGGTACTCGGCGTTAGATGATGTTTCCTTGATGGAGTATGTAAGCACGAGCCGAGTTTATGTACTAGTACCTATGACCATTCGTCATGTTTCTGTCCACGCGATTTAGGGTCGTCTCTGGACGAGTCGAAGGACTCTGCCAATGAGAGCGAGGGAAGTACGAAATACGCCGTACATCGTAGAATCTGATTCTCGAGAGGAGTCGATATTACTCTAATTACCTGAAAGGTACCTAGGGCATAGTGAGAGGGAATATAATATTCACCGCCACAAAATTCCCGAAATACGAAGGCTACGACTTCTGGCTAGGATGATTTTTTTTTGACCGAGCTGTCCTAAGGTGGCTAGGTACCTTAGTTAGCCAGTACGGGGTGTGAAGTCTTCTTCGAAACATACCTAATAAGGTACCTACGATTTGTCTACCTATGTTGACTTCCTTTCGTGTGTGGTAATAGTGGGTCGCGTCGTCGTGGGTCGTATGCTGTCTATTCGAACTTGTACTCCGTACCGCATGGGCTTAAATTGAAACTGGGAACACGCGGCCTTCGTCTGTGGGAAATACAACTTACGATACACCATCACGTATTTCTGAAGAAGTTTCGTATCATGGCACGTCCGAAAGTGGGCGACTCGGTGCGACGATATATCGTACTGATCGTCATTTTTGGCCGACATACTCGAGGCTTCCATACCAGAATCTGCCTAGTAGGATACCTATCCAAGGGGGGGAGAGAGGACCAATAAAAGCGCTACCAAGGGAATTGATATGGGACTAACTCGGATAACCCAGCGCTGCGTTGATCCTTCTGCTTACACTTTGGCCGGCATAGAGCGATATCGAGCAATATTTGACTGCGAATACTTGTGCCTAATCTAACACGCGAGAAACGAACACCGTATTTATTAGTAGTCTGTTAATAACAATACGAGTGTAGTTCATATAAGTACCCATATCGTTGAGGAAACCAATGGTCGTCTTCGGTGATTACTTATTTGTGCAAAACAGAATCCGTTATAACCCCTGCGCACTGCTCGACTTTTCCCTAAACGTTGCCCTTGGTACGTCCTGGATGAACCATGTGGCGGGCGCACCGACTTTGGCAGTCGTTCGTCGAAGATATCGACGGCTGTTGTCTTTTGGAAGGGTAAAATGCCATCCCAGGGATGGCTAATACTGAGTTACGTAGTTCTTACTCTGGGATGTGCGGAAGCATGACAGGATGGACAAGGTATCTACCTACCTACCTTAGGTGTACGAATACCTTCGTGCCGTACCCTGAGCCTCGGGTATACCGTATATTAATTACGGTACCTTCTGAACTCTACCTTAATATGCGCCGCGCCATTACACAGTGTATCAACTCGGACTCTAGCCGCATTACAAGCCACTATCCGCACCAATGCCCAATGGAAAGAAGCGAAACATGAGGGGGCCCCTTCAAGTTGTGGCGTGGACGCCGCCACCCCCACTAACCCAATTCCAAGGTTTGTTGAGCAAGTGGCCTGAGCTTGCCGGCCTCTGCCCCTCCTTTCCTCACTACCCCTCCTTTATCGGACCTGAGGTCATAATTGAGGCGTTGGGGGGTTTTTCTTTATAGATTTTTTTTTAACCTCGCTTCTTTAGCGAACCCATCCCGACGATCAGATCCCCAGTTCTACCCACCCGATATTTACACATAACCTTTCGGAGGAGTGCAATCATGCCGAGTCGGAAGATCGCCATTGTCTCTGTCTATGACAAGACGGGACTGTTAGACCTGGCCAAAGGTCTCAACCAGCAGAATGTGCGCATTCTCGCCTCGGGCGGCACGGCCAAGCTGATCCGCGAGTCTGGGTTTCCCGTTGAGTAAGCCCCTTCTCTGATAGTGCACGAATTAAGGAAAGCCGGGGGGGTGGGGGACGGGGCGGGCTAACAAAAGTTCAGGGATGTTTCCGCCATCACCAATGCGCCCGAGATGTTGGCCGGCCGCGTCAAGACGCTGCATCCAGCTGTGCACGCCGGTATTTTGGCCCGCGACCTCGCCTCGGACGAGAAGGATCTGGCGGAACAGAACATTAACAAGGTTGACTATGTTATCTGCAACCTGTATCCCTTCAAGGATACTGTCGCCAAGGTCAATGTCACCATCCCCGAGGCCGTGGAGGAAATCGACATTGGCGGCGTGACCCTCATCCGGGCGGCAGCGAAGAACCACAGCCGGGTCACCATTCTGAGTGACCCCAACGACTACGCCGAGTTCCTCAAAGAGCTGGATGCGGGAGAAATCACCGAAGCCAGCCGCAAGCGGTACGCCCTCAAGGCGTTCGAACACACGGCTGATTACGACACTGCCATCTCCGATTTCTTCCGGAAGAGGTATGCTGGCGAGGGCAAGCAGTATATAGGCCTTCGGTACGGTGCCAACCCGCACCAGAAGCCTGCTGCTGCTTTCGTGAGCGGCGGCGACCTGCCTTTCAAGGTGCTCTGTGGATCCCCCGGCTACATCAACCTTCTGGATGCCCTCAACGCTTGGCCGTTGGTCAGGGAGCTGAAGCGAGCTCTGGGGTTGCCCGCCGCAGCAAGCTTCAAGCACGTCTCGCCTGCCGGGGCGGCCATCGGTATCCCCTTGACCGATGAGGAGAAAAAAGTGTACTTCGTGAACGACATCGAGGGGATCGACTCCTCTCCCCTGGCGCAAGCCTACGCCAGGGCGCGTGGGGCGGACCGCATGAGCAGCTTCGGAGACATGATCGCCCTGAGCGACAAGGTGGACGTGCCGACTGCCAGCATCATCTCCAAGGAGGTCTCGGACGGCGTCATCGCGCCCAGCTATGAGCCGGCCGCCTTGGAAATCCTCAAGAAGAAGAAGGGAGGCAAGTATCTCGTCCTGCAAATCGAACCGTACTGGGATCCCAGCAAGGTGGAGACGAGGTCGGTGTATGGCATCACTCTCCAGCAGCACCGGAACGATGCCAGGATAGCGCCCGACATTTTCGAGACGGTCATTACGCCGAAGGATGCAGGTCCGCTCCCGGTGGATGCCTTGCGGGACTTGACCGTGGCCACGCTGGCCGTCAAGTACACGCAGAGCAACTCCGTCTGCTATGCCAGCAGGGGTCAGGTAATCGGATTAGGCGCGGGTCAGCAGTCGAGGATCCACTGCACACGCCTTGCGGGCGACAAGGCCGACAACTGGTGGCTGCGGTTCCACCCCCGCGTCCTGGGCATCAAGTGGAAGAAGGGCACGAAGAGGCCCGACAAGAGCAACGCGATCGATCTCCTCGTCAGCGGCGAGCTACCCAAGTTTGGGCCGGAGCGTGAGGCATTCGAGGCCGTCTTCGAGGAAGTTCCCCAGGCTTTCTCGGAAGAAGAGCGGAGCGAGTGGCTCGGCAAGCTGGACAATGTGGCGGTATCGAGCGACGCTTTCGTAAGTGACTGACCACTTTGGCCTTGG